TGGTTTTATGCGTTTCGACATGGTCTGGAGTTCAGAAGTTTGAGATAGCCTTGGTGTACAACCGCTGCGTCTTCGGATTAAGAAGCCACAGCTGCGATTGTCTGAAAACGTTTTGTGGATGCTTTCAGAAAGGGAGGCTCAACAGCTAATAATTGCTCAAGTGACCGGTCGAAAGCCCCGGGGGAGGCCACGAATGACCCCGAGCAAATGGCTCGAACGGGCTTTGCTCCAAACTCAAGTTTTCTTCAGTCGATGTTCAGACTCTGGTACAGGATTTGGCAATACAGGAGATACTGTATGATGCTGCTGTATCAGCGACCCGAAAGGGTAGGCAGCCATAGTGAGTGATTGACTGATTGATGGCACTACAGGGTAGATGCCGCATCTTTTCAGTGGTTGACCAATCGAATACCCCACTAACGTTTGTCTGGTTTGCACATATGTTCTTCTCTTTGGAGTCATTGTTACTGCTTTGAATTCATAATACACTGGAAAAATAAACATGTCATCAACAGAAGTAAAGATTTAAAAAATGAGGTTGGACCTGTTAGACAAAGTATTAGTTGACTATGAACTTTTCAGTCCATCTTGTAGACGTCTCGCATGGTGATCGAACCAGGGCAGGAGTCAGCAAGGAAATCAGTGTGTAAGACAGATGAAGAGGATAAAGGTAGGCATGGAAAGAGGTATCGATGTATTGCCATCGATCGAATAATACTCAATGGTCATCGGTGCATTTTCCATGGCTCGCTCTATGAATTAGTGCCAGCACCAACCAGCTATTGCCTTCACCCACCGATCGGAAAAAGAAGACCAATAACTAAGAGGTAAATGGATCTCTGCTCAGGGAAATTGACAGCTGCCTCATTAAAGGTGCAAAAGTAATAAAAGCTATCAATCTGGCTAATATCGAAATGAAATTCGTTGCTAATGCAGGCGGCTCAAAGAAACAATCATGACGATCACCAATGGCTTATGAATTCCATTACAAGATTCTATGTGCCTTAAAAATGCGTCATCCCCTTTCGGTGAAGCAACGTCCTTTAAAACACTGATTGCGCATTTGACACCGTAGAGGCGAAACGTTTACCTGAGCATCCAGACGTCGATGGCTTTTATATAAGACACTCTTGGTAAGTTACTGATCAGCGTCCCGAATTGGAAGGTCATCGCTAGCATCGAGTTGACGCCGAGCAGGGTACGGGCGGGCATCGCCAACGTACCCAGGTGGAAAGATATCCACGTGATAAATATGATCAGATAAGTCGGCAGGTAGCCCTGCAGAATGTACCATCCGTATCGCCGTTTGAACGTGAACGTTACCGTAAGCTCGTCCCACAGTCCGGCAGGATATTGCTAAACAACACGAGGACGGTTAGAGCTGATGTTCACGAGGTATAAGTTTGAGCCAAGCATATTTCACTTACATAAATTAGCATATTATTAGCATAAAAACAAAATACAGATATTGCAATATTCCTTAAAAATGCAAAAAAGAGAATTTACCGCCTTAATTTCCTCTCGTTAATGTTTTCGTATGCGTCTAGAGGCAAGAGTGGCGTTATTACGGTGTGAATTCAAAGGTGAAAAGTGTATTGGTTATTCCCATTGGTGGTAGTGAAAACTGGCTTATGCCAATAAACCTAGATTTCATCTGATTATTATATGCAACGACGATGTCTTCAAATTTACACGATGTGCTCAGCAATGGATCATTCTGGCAACCACGTCTTTAGAACTAACAATGATTGAAATATGGAATAATATGTAATCCAGAAGGTTTATTCAGACCTGGCTGTAGTAGCAAATGCTAAAGCCTGCAAACTAAAAATATTATTTAGGATTCAATGACTCACTCAAAATATGAACGTTTTCTTGATAACTGAGGAAGTAGACACCAGGGAATCTTCAGGTCAATCTTAAGCTTAGAGCTAAAATGAACGTTTCTAGCAGTTGCTCCACTGGTTGACATGAAATCTTGTCGATCGTTCGACGCAGACCTGAGCGCGTTGTCTTCAGTCGCTACAACAGCAGACAAAATTTGAGGAAATATCATGAAGCATAAAGTAATCGATTAGCGAACTCAGTGATAACGACCGAGTGAAAGATCCTTGACACCGGGAAGAAGTATTGATTGCAGTGGTTTAGACATATGACCAATATGCAAGAAGAAGGACTTGCAATCTGCATCGCGGTGCCACTGGTCAGAGAGCGAGAGCAGACCAGGGGTCATATGGTACACTCCATGTGCTTTTGAATCCATCCCCACAGATTTGCGCAATTGGTAGGGGACTAAAACTATTTGAATGTCTGAAGCTTCTGTACACATAATACATGGGGTTTGCATAACCTATACCTTGGACAGAAGAGCAGATTTACCTCGCTTCGCAAAATATACCTCGTTGGCATTGAAACAGTGATACATGATAATCTACATGACATCTGTCGTCCTTTCACCTCAACATCTGTCCTCTAATTAAGTTGCGTTTGCTTTCTCTTTAAAACAAACAGCTTCTGAGCTATCAAAACGAATCTTCTCTTTTTCTCACTCTTAGATACGCTTCCTTTTCCGGATTGTAAACCGCATGCCCTCGAGAGGGGTGCATTTCCATGTGTTTTACCGCTCCGTTTTTTATGCGATTGTACCCGAAATGGAATTATGTAAAGTGCTCGAAAGTGCTTTGTAAAAGTAGATGTTTGACGCAGCGATGAAAGCCTCGAACGAGCTTCGTTAGCTTCGTGCTTTGTCGGCGTAAAGCAGACAAAAAATTAACAAGCGATCGATTTGAACGAAGAAGTTGGTAGAAATTGGTCAACAGAAGCTTCGAACTGAACTCCCTGGAGACTAAGAAAATATTTAAACTTCATAATGTAAGATATAGAAGTTTCCTTGTGGCATTTGCATCCACTTGCGAGGGTCAGTGATGCCTTTTCATTCAGGGAAGATTTCCCTGATTTTCGCAACTCTGCGTAAACTCTGATTTCGATACGATCATTAAAACGGGTCCAATCAGTATGACTTGATCGGTTCATTAATTTTCGATGAAAGATGTTCACTAGGGATTCTCGACTAGGCTGAGAGAGAGGGGACTGTAGTTGTTTGAGGTTTTTCTATGGTCATCGTTCTCCAGCAATGAGTGAGTCCTCTCACTGGATGAGTGCCGAATCCTACGTTCTTTACACAGCCGAGTTACTGGACCTTGATCCGAGTTTCATGCGTTTTGCCAAGACCGCCATCTTGTGAGTGTCTCTCTTGAGATTTTGGCCGCATTACCACATATGTATTGTTGTGCGTCCTATTGCACACAGGCGGCAGCCAAAGATGCCCTCTCACCCTACACGGACTGTCTATGCGTTCAGCGCGATTGCTGCAAATAACGAAACCTGAAAAGGACCTCATGAGGTCCTGGATAAAAGGGACAAAGTTTTGTTCCGTCAATCGGGTCACAGTGGTAGAGGCCTTCTTCTTTGTCGTGTGATTATTCGAGAGACGTCCTGAAAGATGAATTTTGGTGTTGTCTTCGGTCGTGTTACTGAACAAGGTTCGGTTCCTCTGTAGCTGCAGTGTTTTCTACCCTTTCCTCCCTTCCAATTCCACCCTCTTACCAACGTGATAATTCCTTTATATGTTCGTTTTCGTCATTCGCCCATCATTTAGCCAATTGCCAGCTATGATGCCACGACGACTTCGATGCTCGATTGCACATACGCGCAGAGAGCGATCTTGAAACGATCATTGAGGTCCCATCTGATCAGTCACTGAGATACCGTCATAAACTCGAAGCTTAGCCACGAGCCAGCTTCAGTCTAATTTCAAAAAATAGACAGATTTGGTGCCGCGTCTTTCGAATTGAAAAAGCATGTTCTTTCAGTTGCTTGTTGACATCATTACCTTGAGCCGCTTCCAGAACGTTACTGTATTGTGGTTTCCGTTGTATTGTGCGGTTTTTAGCCTTTATGCTAACGGCACCGATGACTGCAACGATCGTGAAACGAAACCTCTCTTTTTAAAATCAGTCCTTCCCTTGCTTTGCTTCTCCATGTTGAGTTCTATCCTCCTGGTCAACATCTTCCATGTTCCGGCTCCCGTGCGAGAAGCTCATGGGCTGCATTCAGTGACTATGCTCAGCCAGTTTATTTAATAGGGCTAACCTCCTTTACTTGATCTCCCCATAGAGAATAGAGCTTTTCTTTATATGGACTTTCCATTCATCTCTCGTCATGCATCGAAGCCAGAGTTGCTGTAGCCGGTTCAACCTCTATTCTTGCTCCGTCGTTGGAACAGCTGTTTACATTTGCCGCAACCAGATTGGTCTGACGGAAGCAAGGTATGGAGCTGCTGCTTTGTCAGATCAAATACTGCACAGGTATCCAAAAGCACCAAGGCTTGGTGATCCTTGCAATTTGACTCTGGCTTGATGGCACCATTGCTGAAGATGATTGGAGTGAAGTGTTTAAATTGGTCGACTTCGTCCACGGCTTCAGCCGCGTCTGATGCATTCCTCATAACCTATGACTTCTTAACTCAGGACTTTATGAGAGGCGCGAGATTTCGCACCTGTGTTGCGAAAAAAATTGACCCCTGCGAAGACAGCGTTGCAGTTGAACTGGCGATGAAGCATTGACCAAGATATTTCGCGTTGTTTGAAGGAACTGAAAATTCTTGAAAAGTCTAATTCCATGGTATTTAAGCGCTTCTAATGAACCAGATGCATGACCGCGCCTGTAGTGAAGAATCAAAAGATCAGTGCCTTGCCACTAGATTCAGTACTGCAATTGAAATGTAACAATTACTGTCAGAATTAGAGGTAGTTACCCTAAAACATTGAGGTTATGTGTTATCTCATTTTGTCTATATATCTGCCTCCGGGTAGGGATAAATTTTGTTGGCGTTCGAAGGCGCTGTTGTTGAGTCCAACGAAGAGATGCGGTTTCGCATATGCTGCATTGAGGGCGCTTAAATACCATAGAACCACCATGGTCTCTTTAAATTGTCATCCTAGGCGATTGAAAGCAAGTATTTCAGTGCATTTCGTTGTATAAATCCTGTATCAGTATACCAAGTCACTGGCGGAATTGGAACGCTGCCATTTGTGGCAGCTACTCCAGAACAGCGAGGTTAAATTTTAGCATCTTTCGTCTAAAATCGTCATCACTGGGAGGTCGACCTGGGTACGGTTAAAAAATCGAAGCGCCGTCACTGAGAAATCAGATGAACATCCAAATGAAAACAGATGTTCTTACTGTGGTTTGTTTACCAAGCAAAGTTCTACGCATGACGGATAAGTTCCATGTCAATGTTTGAAAGGCCTTCTGAGCTAGGACAATTATAAATTAAAAATACCGCCTTTCCTTTAAAGCATGACAGCACGGATATTAAAGTTTGGGCATCGCCATTACACCAGATATCTCAAGTTCAGCTATTCAATACATCAAGAAAGATTAGATTTTCTCCCCATTCTCTGATATAATTCATGAAGGATCGTTTCGATAATCTCTCTGTCACCTCAGCAAGCAGCGATCTTCTCCTCATAACGCAAAGATGATATTATAAATAGATTTCATCATGCTCTGCTTGAGAACTTGCACAAGTGATGGCTTCCAGCAATGTTCTTGGTTCAATTTTCAATTTAAATGTTTCTCGTCCAGAAAGAACTGTTCTAAACCAATCAAGGAGTAGTTCTGTCAACCAGCGGTTGCTTATTAGAAAACGAATAGTCGACCCTTTAAAAAATCATAAAAAGACTACAGATTTCCACTATTACCGTGGCGACTTACAAGTGTACTCTCACATTACTTTGCCCTGTCCTGCGGCCACTGCTTTGGTGGTTTCTAACTAGTTTGTGACACATGAGTTGATTCATAAAATGAATCTGAATGAGAAAAAATACTGCATATGATTTGCCTCAGCTGATGCTCAGGTAGGTTTCCCATATTTTACCATTTTCATTATCCTCATTGTTGAAACCACAATGAGCTAATCTATGATTTCGCATAACATGATTTAAAATGAATAAAGGTGGATTTTAGCTACAAGCATTCGTATTGCAAAACGGGCTATGATCCAATGCTTTAATTTTCTGCTTGGTCAGCGTAAGTTCACATATTTTGTCACCGTGATGGCGTAGTGAAGAACATAAACGCTAGGTAGCGAAATTGAATATGCAGCGAAATCATGTGCACGTGCCCAAATGGTTTTTAGTAGAAACAGACTGAGAGGACTGTAAGGTCGTTGCTACCGTAACCACAGGGTCGTCTATGGTTTCTTAAAATTTTGACTACAGCAGCTGATGGCAAAAAATTGAGACCTGAAGTTAATTTTGTAAGAAACTTTCATCCATGCAAAAATATAAGAGGAAATCGAAATCGCGAATGAGGCAGAACAATAAAAATTAT